CCTAGTTCAAAAGCCATGCCGCCTTCACTTCAAAGTCTGGGTGGGGATCCTGCACCACAGTTCTATCAGAAGTTCTGACTTTGTCACGTTGTCACTTCATTCAATCTTGCAGGTTTTTATGTAATACTCCCCATTTTCTGCTCACATGTCAACTTCAACTGTCAAAATGCCTGGGTTGTTTTATCACTTGGCTTAAGGAATAAGGCTTACACAACTCCTTTCTCCTTGCCCTATCCAACAAAATAAGCTTATTGCCCAGTGTAGCTGGCAACCCTGCACTACAGGGGGAAGGAAGATGCTTCAAGCAAACAAGGCAAATTTATAGACAGTCAGGTCAACCACCTTCCACCGCCTACATAATAACTGGTCTCCTGATCAGGAACATCAGTACTTAAGTGGCTGTGCAGAAAAGAAGCTTCCACTGAAAGACCAGTGAAGATCTACATTGTTTCCACAAAGCTCTTCATCTTTTTGGTTTATAGAAAAATTTAGACTTTGCATAAACTCTTAATTTTTCTGTCAGAAAAAGGGACAAAGTATTTAAATATCAACACAACCTTAATGGAAAGATATCTGATTGTCCAACTGAAAGTCATTTCTGTTCTAGCTGGTCTGACATCAGTCTGTGTCCCCATGAGCTGCTGCACTGCCCTGGGCCTACATTCTTCTTTATGGGCACTGCCGAAGCCCTTGCGTGAAGCACTGCAAACCTCTTTTTAGCTGAGCTGTCAATATGTATCATGGGAGATTCAGCCTGGCTAAAGCCACTGATGCCCGAAGCACCTGTATGATAACTGCCAGGAGGCACCCCAGTAACTGAAGAGACAGAACATCACATTTGGAATTTCAGAGTTCCTTCTGTCCAAATAAAGTGGTGTTATTCTTTCCGACTTTCATTTTGGGATTGTTTATTCCCTGAAAGATTTCAGTGTTATGCAGTGGCCAGGCACAGGCCAACAGCACCAAAAACACTGAAGTTTTAGTTCTTATCAGGAAGGAATACAGTTGTTACACGCTTTCTCACATGATGTAATTTGCATTGTATCAGTGGCTCAAACTTTTATTTCAATTTGTGCTCTGTCTTGGCCATAGGTGAGAAATAACTGCACTTTCAAACCCAGAATTTTCTCAAATGTCCTAGATTTAATATTCCCCTTCCCTTCCCCCCTCAGAAATGCCTATGGATCATTAATCAAGATAGCACAGATAGCACTGCTCCACAATTCTAACAAGTTACACTGAAATATTACTTGAAATGAAAAATAGAAAAACATGCAACTGAAAAACACTTACGGGCTCTGTTAGAGTTGTATCTTTTTCCAGGAACTGCACAACACAATAGGCGAGCTAGAATGCAAGTCGTACAATTATTTAGGTTAAACAGACGTTGCTTAGACACTGCAGCATAATTAAATATCACAACTTATAATGGAAGCACTTCAGATCGGGGGAGAGGGGAACCCAACCCAAACCACCCCTACACAGCCATTTTAAATTTCTTCCAAACTAAACAAAAGAGCAATTAAAGCAGCAAGATATACAAGCCTGCTCTAGCTTACAAAAACTTCCTGCATACCAATTATCTTTCTTTTTTTTATTTCATCCTAGAAGAAAATTACTTTTAAGCTTGACAGATATTTCCTTAACTCAGATCCAGTGATATTTCCTTAAGTCAGATCCTGTATAAACATTACAAAGCTATCATTTCCAAACATCTACACTGGGGTAAAAAAGGTGATACTTTTTCAGTAAAAAAAAAAAGAGGTTTTAAAACAGGTTTGACTGAACACACATTGCTCAAGTACTAGACATCTACAGCACACAACACTCAGCGATAAGATTACAGGTGAAAGAATTTTAATGTATTACAAGGCCACAGGAGATCAGGCAGCACCTGTCCAGCTGAGCATCCTGTCCCCAGCACTGCCCAACAACAAGTGCCAGCAGAGGACGGCATCAAGTAGAGGAAGCATAAGGTGATTAAGTCACCAGCGTGCTCTCCCAGCCTCTAGTGATTCCTGTCCAGGGGTCTTCTCAGGCAAAAGTGTGATATGTTAGATAATTACTTACTGTTTAGTTACCTAGCACCTAGTTAAGTAACTAAACAACCATAATTCTGCCCTGTACAGAAATCATACAATAATCCTATTACTAAAGTAGTTACAATCCTACATTCCATTAAGACTTATTTTAAAAAGTCATGGTATTTTCCATCTCACAATATAAAGACAAAAATTACCCATGTGTAATGCATGTACATTTCTATACTTAGGATGCTTGAATTCAAGCATTACCTTTCCTTTTTTTTTTTTCCCCTTTTCATCTGTTATCCCAAAGCAGATTATTACAATGCTGTAATTATACCATGTCTAATTTATTTCTTTCACCCTTAGGCTAAGGATGTATATGTGTAGATTCAAAAAATGATAAATGTCACACATTAATCTCATAAAATCCCATTATATATATTGTACAGTAATGCTTTATTGTTCAAAGACACAAAGACTCAAACTTAACTCAGCTTTAAGGCTTTAACTTTTAAGGGTAGGCTAAACTTGTACTGTAGCAACAAAGCAGCTAGGCCACTCCTGATTGCAAAGCAGATTTAATGCTGGTTTACACCCTGGGGATAATATGAAACCAGAAAGTCATGGTGCTGGCACTGCATGTGGCACTACTGGTTTATGAAGGGATAGATGAGCAGCCTGGCCAACAAACCAGATGCTACTTTCGGGTGCACAGTACAGCTGAATTAAGAGGTCCCTTTCACGTACCAATGAACTGGACTAAACACATCACAGAAAAAGGGGGGGGTTGCTGAACTGATCTACCAGCAAGTATAGCAGGTGACTGGTCCCTTTCATATCACTGACTCACTCCATGGAGCAGCCTATTGCACAGCAATAAGTTACAAAGACAAGTGATTTAATTAAATTAAAACTTTATATGAGAATTAGGAAGTAACTGAGCTCTTGACTTGGTCCTGCTTGTAGGCTACACAGTCATAATGATTTCACCTTAATTGGGAACTCATTTCCTTGTATCTTTAGTCCGTAAGGAGCTGCATTAGTGAGCTGATTAAGTTAACAAAGCAAGTTTTTAATTAGCCACAGCAGAATTACTTGCAAGTTTGCATCAAATGTGTTCAATACTCAAGTGCCATGGGTCTGGAAAGGATATACATTATTCTTCAAATAAAATGCTGAACGTCTGTGTAAAGCATAAGAATGGAAGTCAAATGAAGAACTAAAGCATTCTGACAGCATGTCATGGATCTACAAAATGTCTAGCTGATCCAGAGAGCTACTATACATTTCTGCCACTTATATCCAACATTCTCCTACCTTCCCTGTCACTGTAATGGGTTTAGAAATAAAAAAAGCACTTCTGAAAGTAGAAGTATTATATAAAAATATAATATCTGGCTGTACTCAAGGTTCCTTTATACACAGCATTTAGGTTACACAAAGGAAGTGGTAACAGAACAAGGTCCTGGGATTAAATGAAGCTTAAAGTGTGACAAGACTAGCAAGCAAAAAAGCTTCCCACTTCAGCTGACATTAACTTGCTGTTAAATTCTTTCACTTTAATATATGCTAAATACTGTCTCAAAATTAACATTTAGACATAAGATCTACAAGATCTTTTAAAAAAACAGTGACTGAATTTGCAAATATTTTGCAACATTAATATTATAACACATACTGCTTTAAATGTCTTTAGTTCCAAATGCAAATACAAAAAACCCCACCACTCTTAAAAATAGCCAAAAGCTTACCTGTGCATGAAACAAAGCTAATCCCTTTGCAGTATGCATGGGAATCAGAACTTTCATAAGGAACTGTTTGTGTTCTGCTTTCAGTGGCAGTGCAAAACCATTGATAATACTGAAAACATGAATAAACAGGATTTATTTTTATTAAAAAATATTTTTTTCCTAGCAAGTCAAGAATTTCTGTAAATTCAAGAAACACTGCATCTCTGATTCAATTTCTAAACCTGATTATTTCGAAGCCATAAAATAGCTCTACATATGCACAACCTTTAAAGTGTTGGTCTCAGGCAAGTTTAAATACCAGAGAACCATAGTAGAAGTCAAATAATAACTCATTAGAGGAGCTGAATTATTTTTATTGTGACCTCCATGAAGTAATATTATCTACAGCAAGTCTAAGTAAAGCTTAGACAGATGCATCAGGAAGCTGATCCATTTCACCCACAATCACTAGCAACTTGCAGAGAAAAAGAAAAAAAAATAAATAAATGGCATAAACTTTTGAACTGTTGTAAGAGTGCAGGTTGAACTTCTGTTTTGAGACTGTTGAACAACCTTTCTCTCCAAAAACAAAGTTAAAAAGTTGTCTCATTGATTCAGTAATCATATTTTTAAGAGCTGATGAGTATTAGAACAGAAAAGTCCTTCAGGAAGAGGTTGGTCGGGTTTTTTTGCCCCCCAACATTTTAGATAAATCTCAGAAAATAATGGTATCCCTTTCCTTTGATTTTAATGAAAATTTGTTCCACAATAGTTTCACAGTCTTTGGATTTTCAGTTAGACCAGTAATATTTATAAAATTTTTAAAATTTATAAAATTTTTATAAAATATATGTGACAGTTTTGGAAAAACAGTTAAATACTACTACACAAAAACTTCTAAGTTAAAAATTAAATTAGTGAAATAATGCCAAAAAAAGATAACTAAAAAAACCCCTAGCACTTAGAAGGCTTTCCTGAATAGATTTTAAAGAAAATCAACTTGCTAAAGATTAAAGCATTTCATTCAGCATGAGGGCAAAAAAGTTAACATTCATTTTCTGAACCAAAGAACAAGTAATTGATCAGATATAAGATAAGCAAGAGTAGATATTTCTGACAAACAAGGACCCTTGAGATACTTTGCCAGTCATCTTTAAAACTTGCACTGAAAAAGAATAATTTACACTTTATATCCTAATTTGATTTTCAGCTGGTAACCCAGACACTATTAGATTACATCAGCGACTGGCACCGCGTCACTTGTTACTGTAATAATTCTCTTCCCTCCATTCCGGAAGCACGAAAGCTGAAGCAAACACCCACAGTAACATTTTATATTTTTTCTGTGTCACATCAAACTTACCTTCCTAATATCTCAAGAAGTTCAGCAACACCATTGAAATGCTCCGTTTCATATATAAACCTGTTATAAAAAGAGACAACTATCAAAAAATCAAAACAGAGGATCAGAGATTCCAAAGAAATAACCTTGAATAAGATTCAAATATTTGAAAGCCAGATCACAGACCAAAACTGTGTATTTTATTTCAGGAATAAAACACTGCAGACCCAGAGCATGGAGGCAAGATAAAATATTCCTCAACCTAGTCACACATACATATACAGCATACCTGAGGAAAATGTTGTTTATCTGTTTCCTGATGAATGCTCTTAAACCAAGGAATTTTCCATAAATTCGATGAAGAACTGTCTTTAGGAAATCGCGTTCTCGTGGGTCTTCACTATCAAAGAGCTCCAACAACTGTAAAAATTAAATTGAAATGTATTACTTTTGAAAGGCTTACATTTTGTTATGCTATTAACTGGTTTGAGTTTTAGCTTTATTTACAATTTTACATTAGAAAAATTAAAATCTGTTTAACCAAAAATGTTGTTTGGATGTCAATATTATATTTTTAAAATTAGATTTTTAATAAATCTTATTAAAAAAAATAAACCCAGCACCTTCATTCCCTTCAAATGTTTGTATACAAAAGACATCAAAGCCATTCCAACAACTATTACACTATCAAAATAAAAGTGAAATTGTAAGAATGAGATTATCAAACCTTATGTAAATGTTTTACACTCGATCTTTAAGAAATTAGGATAAATCAAATCTGTGTTGGATATTTACAATTTCTTAATTGAAATCCTGTACTACTCATCTTAAAATGCTACTGGTGTCTTGGAAGGTTAAGCAACAGCATAATTCTTCCCAGAATCATTTTGCAGGATAAGTGGATAAGACTCATGCACATTTCCTCAGGGGAAGAATAGGGAGAGGTACATTTAACAGAATGATAATGCATTAAAAATGAGCCAGTGGAAAAAAATTTAAAAATAAAATAACATTTAAAAATCACTGGAAGTAGAAGTTGGTTAATTTCTGTCTAAATCTGCTATCAGTATTCCCTGCCCGTCCTCTTTTTTTTCTTTAAATGCATCTTTCACACCTCTCCACCCCCATTATCCTCTTATGTGGACAACATGTTTGGTTTTGTTCCTATTCAGTAAAATCCACAATTAATTATTAAATATGGAGAAGTTTATAAAATAATCATAACATATGTAATTATTAACCGATTCTCCACTAATACAGACTAAATGCTGCAATCAGCTAGCAAGATTTTCCACACAATTCTTTTTTGTAGAAAGTTTTCCGGGCATACAGGAAAGACCATCCTCACTTGGAGACATCAAAAGATATTCCAATCCCATTACAGACATTATTTTTTTCCTGCATGTCCAAGTGAGAGCACAGTGAGAAACACTAACTGTGCTAAACAAGTCAGTAACTTGGCTCGAGCAGTCACTACAGCCTCCTGCTCAGCCCAGGTCTGCGAGCTCAGGTACATCTACACCAAGCAGCGTAGGGGACTGGAAACAGCTGTTGAGGAACTTTATTCAGGCTCATTTCATTTTTATATTTAGAAGGAATTTCTCAGGGTGACTACTCCACTTTTTTCCCCATATATAGCTAGCTGTTCGTTGCATTGTCTTTCTTGTACTCTACAAAAATAACAAGTGAAATGTCAGGAACTGAAACTCTGCAACATGGCTCTTAAGAACCACGGGTCAATTAATAAATTGGATACCCACAGCCAATAGTTCAGCAGCAGCTTCAGGCCTAAATTTTGTGGGGAAGTCAAATAAAACAGAGAAGAAGGTAACACCTGTAAACAAGAACAGCAAAACCAAACAAGTGGAAATTAAATGCAGTCACTGAAGGTGGGGAGGGAAAGTGTCCATCTATGGTTTTATTTTTCATTGCTGTACTGTGATGACCTGGGAGCGCTCACTCTGCAGATACTCAGCTCTTCCTTGACAAACAAGTTATTTTGACATGGTAAAAAACAAACAAACAAAAAACAAACAACAAAAAACAACAACCACAAAAAAACCCCACTGCATTAACCTTGGACAAAAACTGTTATAGTATTCTACAGCCTGATTCCTTGAGAAGTTATATTTAAAATGAAATCTCACTTCACTTTCTTGCTCACAGTTACTTTGCATGGTGAAGCACAATTTTCCTATGTACTTTCTTACTTGATTCTCCTTCTATGGTTAACACACAATAGTAAAGAGAATGACACTACCTAGTCACAAGGTAGCAGATGTTGGAACACATTTCAGGTACAGTACATGAGCACATGAACTTTTTACAGGAAAAAAAGTTTGCTGGAAGTTTTCTCATGGCAAATCTATGAAAAAACCCAAACAAAAAAGCACTACGACAATTTAATCAGCACATTGTTGATCTGACTGGAAGTAAGTTACAAATCATTAATAACACAACTCGTATTTACAAATTACAAACATCTTGCACTGCAAAGCTCTGAGGTTGATACCTGTTTCTGGAGTTACTAATTAAATATAGCCTCTGTGGTATGATGTGCTGTTCATTTAGTGTCAGAAACCACTGTTGGACCAACTAAAATTTATCTCTTTGTCAACATGAAAGCTTTAATATCTCCTTAGCTGTACAGTCATCCGATAAATTAAACTTGCAAGGTGATCTTTAAATCTGGGGGTGGAAAACTCCTTACTTACCTGCTGTACAAATTTCTGGTCAATATATCGCTTGGCAATACTAGGCTGAAAATCTGGGCTCTCCAAAAACCTCAGGAAAAATTCATACACCAACTACAAACAATGAAATTAAAATTTTGAAGTTAGTAAGTACACCATAACACAGATCTCAGCCCTGCCACCACCACAGTCAGTGGGACTATTCACATGCTCAAAAGGTACAAAAAGAAACTGAAGCCTAACACATCACTGCTTAATCACAGCTTCTACTGGAATTTACCAAAAGGATTACAGTAAGTACTAAAAACACTTTAATTCCCAGAAGAGTCAAAGCTTAATAAATAATCTACTGAAAACATCACTATTAGAAAAAAACCAAGCTCCAAGTATTTCATATATTCACATTTCCTACTATATTAAGAATTTATTATGTAGAAATAAGCTACCAAACACTTATCAACAAAATTAAGTGCTCTAACATCACATAATTCCTTAAACAGATGGAGGAAAGTCTGCTAAGTGTTCCTGAAATTAAGTTTCAGCTGCAAACACTAAAAATTAAAAGTCATTAAAAAGTTGAATGAATACACAGAAACTTAAAGAGTTTGGCTTTACATTAGGTTTCTATATCCTGAACACTCAATTCAAACAACAGGACCCTCTGGAGATTTATCTTCAATATCCTTTATATTTTGCAGTATATTATTTCTACTGAGTTCAAGTCCCCATTCGCTATGATCCCACAATGCCCACAGATGGAAGAACAGACGGAATCTAGAGCTAGTGAGGGCCTGAGGTAGCAGAGAGGCATGAAGAACCCAGAGCACAAGTCCTGTATTTTGGCTTCATCAGAAGTCCAAGACACAAAACACTGTACTTCCATAACAACAGCAGATTTATAAAATACACATAAGGCACATAATTCTGTCCTTAACTAGGGCAGAATTGAGAGGAAAGATGCCTTATGTTTAGGTACATTCAGGGCTGCTTATGTTCCCAACGCCTATTTCTTAACTCCATGTTAGTTAACTGACTAGTGTGAATACTAAAATGCAATTTGGATACATAAAGACATCACTGACTGGAATTCTAAAGAAAACCCACATGGAGCTGTGGTGATAGGCACAGGCATGTATTTCAACTATTGCCACTAAGAGCACTTATTAAACTGAGAGCCAACACCTGAGTAATTCATAAGTATAATTATGATGTTCACTTGAGAGAAGTGCTTGACACTAAGTACTTTTTACCTAGAACATTTGAGATGACAATTCCTCACGCCATAGCCTCAAGGAGGGTATGCTGTATCTGCAAAGCAGCTCAGAAACACAAGCTCCCCTTCACTCCTTCTTCCCCTGACAGACTGTAACAAGAGCTTTTCATATCAGCCGTTTAAATGTACACAAATTTCATGTAACTGTATTAAAACCCAAGCTCCCCTGTACAGCCTTCATTTGTCTTCTTGTGCATAAACACAATACAACACAGTTGCACAAGAGACAACATAGGACAGAATTTTTCAAAGCTTGGTAACACACAATCCAATAGTAACATTTTAAATATTTCCATACTCCACCCTCTGTTTTAGAAAGAGATCAACCATGGCTGTTTAATATCTTCATCAGTGACATACACAGTGGGATCGAGTGCACCCTCAGCAAATCTGCAGATGACACCAAGCTGTGAGGTTTGGTTGACACGCCTGAGGGACGGGATGCTATTCAGAGGGACCTGGACAAGCTTGAGAAGTGGTCCTGTGTGAACCTCACGAGCAGCAGACCAGGTGCAAGGACCTGCACCTGGGTCAGGGCAATTCCTGGTATCAATACAGGCTGGGGGATGAAGGCATTGAGAATAGCCCTGCAGAGAAGGACTTGGGGGTACTGGTGGATGAAAAGCTGGGCATGAGCCAGTAATGCACATCCACAGCCCAGAAGGGCAACCGTATCCTGGGCTGCATCAAGAGAAGTGTGGCCAGCAGGTCAAGGGAGGTGATACTCCCCCTCTACTCTGCTCTAGTGAGACCCTACATGGGGTACTGTGTCCGGCTCTGGAGTCCTTGGCACAGGAAAGACATGGACCTGTTGAAGCAGATCCAGAGAAAGGCCACAAAAATGACTAGAGGGATGGAGCACCTCTCCTGTGAAGAAAGGCTGAGAGTTGGGGTTGTTCAGCCTGGAGAAGAGAAGGCTCTGGGGACACCTTATTGCAGCCTTTCAGTATTTAAAGGGAGTCTATAAGAAAGATGGGGACAAATGTTTTAGCAGGGTCTGTAGCAATAGGACAAGGGGTAACGGTTTTAAGCTAAAAGAGGGTAGATTCAGACTAGATATAAGGAAGAAATGTTTTACATGAGGGTGGTGAAACACTGGCACAGGTTGCCCAGAGAGGTGGTAGAAGCCCCATTCCTGGAAATATTCAAGGTCAGGCTGGATGGGGCTGTGAGCAACCTGACCTAGTTGAAGATGTCCCTGCTCACTGCAGGGAGGTTGAACTAGGTGACCTTTAAAGGTCCCTTCCAACCCAAACCATTCTGTGATTCTACTGATACTTTTCAAGCTGGCAATTAGATAAATTAGTCAGTGGTTTGTATTGAAATGGGAAACATAGCTGGAGGGAGGTGGTTAGTACTGCTTCATAGGGATTAATTTTTGAATTAAAGTTCATAAAATATTTCTCTAATAAATTCATATATTAAATATCTCTATCAGTGACCACAACAAGTAATAGTCATGTGGTAACTGCTTAGACAATGCCATAATATCAGAAGCTACCACCAGGAAAAAACCAAGACAACAACAACAACAAAAACCACAAACAAACAAACAAAAAGTTAAAAAAAAAAGTATGTCAGGTTATCAGTAAGAAAGGACAAGTTGATGCTGAAGGCCTGAAGTAATAGGTACAGGATGAAACTCAAGGATTGCAAAGTCACAGTTAGGTGACAGATGAAATCCTGGGATATTCCAGGAAGGTACTGACAGTACCAATAGAGGTGCACAGTCTGACACATGCTTGAGGAAATTTATTCAAACCTGCAAGGATACAGAGAAGGAGCCACTAGAGTTGTCATGGGACAGAGCACCTTTTATGAGTGAAGTCTAAATTGGCATGTTTTGTTTCCCCTAAGGGACAAGGGAAGGAAGGACAATTATGGCTTCTTTCCATAAATAGATATGGGGACTGTGATAAACATCAAGCACAAGAAGTAAGTTAAAGTAAATGCTGTAATATCTTGGTATGAGCTGTCCAAGATTGAGTTTAGGATATTGACTAGGGTCAAAACCAAGGTACATCTAATCTATAAAACAGAACAAGCCAATATTAATGCAAGATTCTTCATATATTATGACAAATTAATCAGTTACCTGTCTCACTTCTAATATAGGGAGAATATGCATTGATAACCATTTGAATGCTTCATGTAAACATCCAGACCCTGACTGTTGCTATTGTTTTTAAGGATTTTCAGAAAAACCAAAATTTAGTGCTCAAAAATCCAGTTTCAGAGCTGTATCGCAGGGAACCTTTGTGCACTGAAGCACTATTTGTGCAGTTCTGAGGCTTACAGAATCGTTCAGCTTTCTGGTAACGAGTGCCACTGCTCCTAGAACATGTACAACTGGTAAAAAGTATCCAACAGCTCTGTGAATCCTTGGGAAATCAGTGAAGCTTTATCCAAGCCATTTCAGGAAGCAAGCTGCAATGGTCATATCTGGATAGTCAGCCCCTCCCTTCTCCTGTATGCTCGTGTTTGCAAACTCAGAAGCACAACAACAGCTATCAACTAGGGGGATGAGAATGTATTCCACCCACAACAGACACTGGCTGCTCCTATCAAATAAATAAATAAATAAGAGACAGGTATGCTCAACTTGCTTGAGTTAACTGAAGCATTACCACTGGCAATACTACAGGGGAAAATGGTTGGATTTAGTCATTTTGGTTCTCAAAATTGGTCTGCTTATGTTAAAGAGCTTTAAGCTAACAATTTCACCAAATCTGCAACTCCCTAAGCTCCAAAACACACAGGGGCTTTAATGCCAACGTGTTCAACTTAGTTTGGCTGTTACAAACCATCTTGAGGACTGCTTTAAAGCAATGTCTTTCAAGTGGCACTCATTTTACTGAGGATCTAGAGTCTTTTTCTGTGACTACACACACTGGTAACTTATTAAGCCATTATTTATCATGTTATTTTATAGAGAAATGCCAACAGATTCAGCCAGAGAAGAGCAGAGGTTCAGGTATACCAAAAGTAATAATGGGATTTGAAATGGGGGGTGGGTGAGAAATGGGTGTGCGCACCCACTTCCTCCATACACAAAACTTGATACTTTCAGCAGCTTTGTTCTCCTGGAGGGCAATTAGTGAGTTATCAAACTCAAGTCTTCTACCATCCATTAACGTGTGAACTGTAAAAGAAAGGAGAGGAAAACACAATTTTTTTCCCCTGAGCTGCATGAACAGTCTATTCCAAGGACAGGATGAACAACTGATGCAGGAGAGGGAAATCCACAATCAGTGATCAGACAGCCTGGCCAAAACTCATTTAGAAAAGGGCAAAGGAAAAAGACAAAAATAAAATTTCAAATAATTCCATGGGCCACAAACCTCTTTCACTTTATCTTAGACAAGCCTAAAGCACAATTGAACTGGTCACAAAAAAGGTCTTTTTGTAGAAGAGTAACTATAGTTTACTTATGACCTAAAGTGAACTGAGCAAACATTTACAAGTTTTTCTCCTGAGAGGCAGGGGCATTTTGAAGTCAGAAGCTGCTACTGACTGTAAGAGACATCTGCACCCTCCCACTGCTCCAAAAAATCAAGCCTCTCATCTACTCCAGCTATAGCCATTTCTCCTGTGAATTAGGATCAGGCATATATAAGCAAGATAATAATTATTACAACCTTTAGTCTGCAGAGGTTTTTTTGTGATAACTTGTTTCTTACTTGGTTTAAGTCTCAAATGATATCCTGGGCATGTACTTTTTATAGTCAAGTCCAGTTTTCAAATAAGAGCATTTGTTGATACATTAGAACTGTAATATTATAGGGATATAGTAAATTTTAACTCCCTTAAGAGAGGGGAGAGAATGGTATGCAGATGGGTGGTAGCTATTAATCTTCTACTCACTAGAAGTTGCTACATAACTTTTATTTACCAGATACTACTTATTTATATTCAGCAATTAACTACCTGAGATATGAACTTGGATGATTACAAGTGATTTAGGTTTGTTGAACTTTTAAGAGTTAATTGGAAAAAAAAAATTCATCAGTATTTCAAGTCGATCATGTGATTGATACAGCAACGCTATAAAAATCACGAGATTGGCACAGGAGTGCAACAATAGAATAACTAACCAACTGTTACCAAACAACAACGCCTATATTGTAAAGTTTTTGCATGGAGGGAGGGAAGAAAGAGGGTGAGAAGAATGAGGGGAGAACTATTTCTTGCTTAAAAGACAAATAAAGGCCATTGCTCCATTTCTCCTTACTGTCACAAGAAACCGAACTATTAACATCTGTTTATATTTTATTGAAATCACACAAAAAAGTTGCTCAAGTAAGAAAACAAACCTCTTAAGTAAAGAGCATCATTGCATAAAATATCCACATATTTTTAGAACATTCATATAACACACTGTAACAGTGCAATCACTCCCTTAAAAAAAAAAAAAGTTTTAAAGCAATTGGGAATATTTACATTCTGCCATATTTATACACATTAGGAAAAGCACCACTTTTTTCCCTCCCAAGTACAGAAACTCAACTGCACTATAAAAGCAATTTTGATGTTCTTAACAAAGGCACAAAATGACTCAAGTATCTATTCACAGTTCTTGCCTTACAAGAAGGCTTGAAAACAAAGAAATCATATACCTGTATGTGGGGCCATGAGGCTTCAAGAGTTGGTTCATCTTCTTCTGGATCAAAATCCGGGTTATCACTAGGTGGAAGTGTTCTGAAAATATTAGAACTAATCTGCAAGAGAAAAAAAAAAGCTGTTTACTTGTATGACTTTTTATGCTTTCACAGACCACAGTCAGCAGCATACTGCTTTTGTCCTAAAATTACATGAAACAAAACCAGCTTTAAAAAAAAAAATAAATAAACAAACAAAAACTTTTATTCCTTATTTTTTCAAAGCTGCTAAATCCAAATGGCCAAAAGTCTAAAACAGGTCAATGAAAATAAGAAAGCAACTTTTGTCTCAACTGTTTTACAAATTTGTAGCTAGACATTGTCAGATTTAAATTTTTTCTCTGAAAATATGAGAGTTAAAAGAAAATTTCAGTTTCCCCTAACAGAGATCAATTTTTAACTATATGACATCGAGAACTGAGGTTTTATATAAGACATCAAGCACAGTATGACTAACCAATTATGACTTAAACAGAGCTCTCCCCGTGTGTATGATAGACAATTGCAAAAATATATCTCATGTTAGAGTTCTTAATTTTACTTAATTTCAAGATAATTCTCACTTTCAAATAAGAAAGAAGAAGAACTGTTTACAATTTTTCACCTTCCATAACTTCAAGATTTTTCGAGGTTTTGGGAAGTCAAATACATAACAATTGTAGCTTTTTGATTCAACACTGAGTAACTTTGAAGAAAAAAAAAAAAACAAAACCAAAAACAAACAACCAAATACCAAAGAAATATTAGTTACTTTATGATATAGTCATATCAAATAAATTTCAAAAGGGTGAGTTTAAAAAGGATTCTTCTGAGATTTTTGAAGGATATAGAAGTCTAGAAAGAAGACCAATCTCTCAAATGTCAAAAGAAAAATAAATGTCATCTTTTCTGCCAGATGTAACAAACTGGATTTTAAATCTCCAACATGAACAAAAAAGAACATTAAGTTAATCTCGTTTCTGCATTTTCTACTGTTTTTCAGGAAGGCCTTTAGCCCGACTTTTCCAGTCATCTTTCAAACTCTTTAGTCTTTTCGACCCAGTCAGATTCAAATAGCTGCTAACCACCCAAGCTTACTAAACACAAAAGAAAGAATGTTTGACAGTTTGCAGCAAATGTTACTGCACAGCTTCCATGGAGTCTCCAAGGTGTTTGAAGAATCTTGCAAAAGGACTTTAAAGGATCCTGAAGTCACCCAGCTGGCTCTGCATAGAAGAATCAGCTGCCTCATTAAACAAGATATAAAGCTATTGCATAAACTGACTTTTCATTTCCTCCTATGCGCTTCATTCTATGACCTGTCACTGTCTCCTGTTGGTACACGGTAAAGCTGCAGACACTGCAGCTCTGGAGTAGAAGGGCAATGATGTTCTGTATGGATGGGCACTACAGCAGTCTCCTAATTTACTGCACAGAAGGAAAAAAAAAAACCACACAAACCCCAAAAACAAACAAACCAAAAACCAAAACAGCACAGTTACCCTTTAATGTTGTAAACACAAGGGAGCACAAGAGAAAGTGCTGGGGGGACAGAAGGGGAAAACAGGAGTTAAAGAATGTGAGTTTTAATCAAGCCCGAAAACAAGTTCTGTTATTTGATATTGTTTACTCTTATTAGGTATTCAGCAAAAACATCCAACAGACAAATCAGTCCCCTACAGAGATTTCCTGACCCCTGCTTGCAAGTCTTCTAGCAATGCCTCTTGAAAATTCATCCTTTTATTTCTAGATGCATCTTGCTGAACTGAGCCCATCAACCCTTTAGAGCAGGGAACCTCAGAGTACAGATGCAAAAGTTGAGTGCAAAACAAAGGTACTAACTACTAAACGGACTTCTATACCAGAAACAAATAGCAAACCTCTCAGCCAGATTTCTAGAAAACTAATTTTATAATTTGCAAAGTATTCAGTACTTCTACTAACATTACTGGTCTCCTGAGAACATAGGAAACTTAGAACAAACTGTGTACCCGTTTTTATGTACTAGCCTATCTCCCTAAATAGCTGGTTCATTTACTTCATTATCTTTTAAATACTTCCACTTCCTGTCTCATTTGTTTCTTTCTAATGTCTTGCTAATAATATTGATCAAAAACGTGGCTTGGGTAAAAGCCTCATTTTTTTTTTTCTGTGCGTAAATTCTTCTCTCTATCCTCTCATACTATTTAAAACATCTCTTTTCCTTCATAAGTGGGGTCTTATCCCAAAACTATGATTTGAGAAACATAAATCATAAAAGGTTTTTACAGCTGGATAGGCTTCCAGAGAAACACAGCATTAGCTTTCTAAATTAAATCTCAAAGTTTTGTGAAAGTGATATCTGCAAATGTGCCAGGTAAAGTATTAAGGTACAGCAATTACATTTTATTAAGACAAAATAAAAGAAAAAAAAATCCCTTGTTATCTGTACAATGAGGGAATCAGGGGAGGTTGGCAGGCACAAGGAGATGGAGGAATACTGTGTACTGGAGGGACGTTTCTGTTATGCTCTCAAGCCTGATAAAGGATAGAGCTTTTTAACTTTCCAGAAAGTTTTAAGACTTGAAATATTCACAATGCCAAACTCTAATTTGCTCTTAGCTTCAGGGTACTTTCAACTGAGAATTTTCTAGACAGATAAGACACTAATTTTAGATGACCCAGAAAGGAGGTATGCAGACCGTTGTGTTATCCCTTCAAAACTATTTGTAAGCAAAACTCTTCCTCAGTTCGTAATTTAAAGGCTTTGGCAAAGGAATTATAGGAAAATCAAGTTGCCTGGGACACCAAAAGGTGTATATCCCACACACCTGACTAAACAGAGAAATTATTTTTCTTCTGATTTTGTTCCACCCTTGGTGGCTTGCAAAGACATTGGTATCATTTCAGCTAGGGCTCCCCACCTCAGGATGCAAATGGAGCAGGGACAACTACATGAGCCGTTATTGTGTGGCACCGGCTTGGCAGCTATTGTGGTACCAGAGGCCATGTGAAGGGAAGGAAGGCTCGGAGACCTCCTCACCTGCACAGGCTTTGCCAATGCACTGGTCAGGAACAACTTGTTTTGTTTTGGTTTGGTTTTTTTCCTCCTCTTGATACCTGTAAGAGATGGTTGACTTTGCCTCCCCAAGACTTGGGAGACTTCAAGGAAACTGGGCTGCTTCCTCTG